AAATCCAAATGAAAGAAAGATGCAAAAAATGGGAATGCTTATCGCTGAAAGCTGAATATGTACATACAGGGCTAATATAAAAGCGAGTAGGTATGAAAAACTCTTTTAGACTAGGGCGAGTATAGTAAAAAACTTTGAAAAACTCTTTTAGACTAGAGCGGCAAATTTTGACTTGCACCCGGGAGTCAAATGTGTATGAGCCGGCCCTGGTTCTCTCTTTAGTAAATTTAAAGGGAGGTGAATATACTGGCCCTAATAGTGATTTATTATGAGCAGGGTGAATAAATGCTGTAATCCTTTTGATACGAACAATCATAAAAAAGTTATTAAAAATCTAGTTTTGATTACAGATAAGCGAGCTAGTTATTTCAAAGATTTTATCGGGTACTATTTGTGTAATTCATGTGAAAGAGCCTATTTTTAAGGGCCAAAAACCTAAAATTGTGTATGATGTAAATAATTTTTCTAATGTTAATGAACCTGAATCGTCAAATGATGTCATTGAAGATGACGAAAAAAAAGATCCTTCTTTTGAATGTAACATGGTCGATAATAAATTAAAAATTGAAAAAGTTAATAAATTTTTATTGGAGTTCGGTGAACCACCAATAAAATTAAGACGTGCATCAAGTGTCCGTGAATGTGAAAAGGCTGTCACAACTGCTGTAAGTACCTTGGAAAAGAATAATAATTCTCAAAGTGATGTAATTAACCTAAATGACCGTCTTATGAATAATTTTAAATCCGCTTTTAACGAGAAAACCAGCAGATCCGAAAAAATTCAAGTATTAACTACACTTCCGTTAGACTGGTCCACGAAAAGGATAAGACATGAGTTTCAAGTTTCAAAAAGAATGGTGCAAGCTGCGAAAAAAATTAGACAACATTCAGGATTTGCCTCACAGCCCCACATTAAGAAAGGGAAAAGCCTTAAAAATTTAACACTTAAAGGGGTTCGAAATTTTTATTTATTAGGTGATGTCAGCCGTATGATGCCCGGAATTAAAGATTGTGTTTCTGTGATGGAAAATGGCAAAAAAATTCAGAAGCAAAAAAGATTATTGTTATGTAACTTGAATGATTTGTACAAAAAATTTAAAGAAGCGTTTCCTGACGAGAAGATTGGGAAAACTAAATTCCAAACCCTACGACCACGTGATATCTGCTGGCAAAAGTGGTACGCATAATGTGTGCGTGTGTAAAATTCATCAAAACATAAAATTACAGTTGAACGGATTTAAAAATGAATTGAAAAAAAAAGAAACTATTTTTTCTGAAAGCTATGACGGTTTAATAAAAAGTTCTGTTTGTGACCAGCCTACCCCATCAGTTGATTTTGTTATTAGCAAATTAAAATTATTAATAGATAAATTTACAATTACCGAAATAACGTTTAGTCAATGGAAAAGCACCGACAGGTAGGAAAACAAGTTAAAAAAATCACTGATATTTTCTCAATTTTATCATTTAGAAAAATAATTTCACTTACTTAAAGATTTATTTTCTTAATTATTTAATTTTATCTACTTTTTTACTTATATCATAATTCAGTAATTTTTTTTAATTATAGGAGTGAAAGATTTTTTTAATGATATAAAAATTAAGTGGTCCGAACTACTGAGACACGATTTCATTGCTAAATCTCAAGCATCTTACTTCACGAAACAAAAAGAATCTGTTGGTGCTGGAGAATTTATAGTATGCCTCGATTTTTCCGAAAATTATTCTTTTTTTGTACAAGACGCAATTCAATCTCATCATTGGTCGAATAATCAGGCTACACTTCACCCGTACGCAGTGTATTATCGAGAGAATGAAGAATTGAAACATGGAAATTACGTGGTAATTTCAGAAAAAAATACTCAGGACGCAAGCTCAGTTCATCTTTTTAATTCAAAGTAAATTGAATTTTTAAAAAACAAATTCGGAGCTAATAGTATTAAAAAATTGTTTTACTTTTCTGACGGAGCAGCTCCACAGTATAAAAATAAATATAATTTTCAAATTTAGTTCATCACAAGAACGATTTTAATGTTGAAGCTGCATTATTTAAATGGGCCGACAATTAATTTAAAAAAAAGCATTTGGTTTTTGCTCTCAAGAGGAACATGATTCTCACGAACTAAAATTCAAAGTACGTTTTCAACAATCTGTTGCTATAAAAAATACCCGCCAGTTTCACTATTATAAAAGTTTAGACGGTGTATCACTTCAGTGTAAACTTTTTTCGGAGGATACAAAAATAACAACTAATAAAATTTTTAAGAAAAAATAAAAAAGTATCATGCTGCTGAGAAATTTCTGGTATATTTATTTATAATAATTATTTGTTAATTTTAAATGTCTTTATTTATGATATATTTATTTATAATAATTATTTGTTAATTTTAAAAGTCTTTATTTATAAATAAAAACAAATATTATGTTAATTTGTTATAATTATTACATTAAAAAAAATTATTTTGTTAAACAACATTGTTTCTTATTGTAAAAGAGAGAGTTTATTTTCTAACAATACTGATTGCAGCCGAGGCCGAGTCTACAGCGCGCGGCAGCGCGCTATACCGACAGCGCTCGCGCTCGGGAATAAATAAATTCACATTGTTTAAACTAATAGCGGGCAGTGGAATTTTCTTGTAGAATATTTAACTAAAGTGTACAATGCATGTAACTGAAATTTTTTTTTTATAATTTGAGGGAGAAGTCATTACAATTTTCATTTGTTAATTTAAAAGTTAATTAAAAATATTATAATAAATAAATAATTTCAAATTTTGAATTATTTCCAAAATGTGAATAATAAACAATAAATCCTGAAAATTTGATTAAAATATCTCCAACAGTTTTTCTGAAATCTATGTTTTAATTAAAAGTCTCCAAAATTTTCATTTAAGAAAAATTGATGTTAAAATAAAAATTTTAAAAAACTGTTTTAGGGTTTCACTATTGATAGTGACTACTTTATCTTAAAATATAAAAATTTGAATTTCACGATCAAGTGGGAAATGGGTGGTCCAGTTGAGGTGATCTTACTTTTCTGTATGTCCTTCCACATTAAGAAGTGATATTAGGACGGTCATATTCCGTAATAGGAGTAGAAAATAGTTATTTATGTATTAAGGGCATAAAAAGGTTTTTATGGTCCGAGGCGCTATTTAGAGCCCGAGCGCGTTAGCGCGAGGGCAAGAAAAGCGTCGTAGGACCATAAAAACCAGTTATGCCAGCAATGCATACAAAACTTTATGCACGATTAATATATTATTATTTTTAATATATTAGGTATTGTTTTTAAAGACGTTTACGTCAAAGAATTTTTGTTATAATTGTCATATACTAATGTCATCGTGCATAAGTATTATTGACATCAGTCAGTTTTAAAGTTTAAAGATGAATGAAAATTGCGGCCTGCTGCCGGAAAAATCAAAATCTTTATACGAAAAAACTTACTTCGAATATATCAAATGGTGTAACATAAGGAAGAATAGTTTTGCGCCTATTGTTTTTAATTTTTGACGTTTCATTATAGCCCGCTGGGTCATAATAAAGCCCGCGGGCTATAAAAAGACGTTTACGTCAAAGAATTGTTATAATTGTCATATTATAATGTCATCGTGCATAAAATTTATTATTAAATACTTAGCTAATATTACAAATAAACATATAAAGTTTATACTATTCATTTTTTTTTAGTTTTTGCTGGATGCCAAATTATTTCCCTTTTAACAGCAAGAATAGTAATAACCATACTTATTTTTAATTTTTAATTTTCGCTGAACACGAATCTAAAGTCAGAATTGGAGGTTACGGATCAAACAAAAACATATACATGTATAGTTTAATTTACATATAGTTTGGTACCTAACCTGAAAAAGAAAACTGTTTTTTTCTGTTATTTACTTTACTTTATTTAAAATTAATACACTATAATTATAATTTATTGTTTTTATTTATTTAAGTTATATTAAAAAAAGTACAAAAAATCAAAACAAAAGTAGCCTATAAACTATCGGTATGCAAAAAATCACTTCGATCCGTTGCTACGTTTCGGATAATTTTTTACACAAATGTATTATTATTGTACGTATATTTACGAATTTCCATTCTGACAACTTAATTAGTAGATTCAAAACGTGCTGAAATTAAGTAACTAGATTTTATATTTTATAAGCTATAATGGAATATTTTACTAGATAAGTTTTTAATTTTATTGTTTTGTTTTTAGTTTTTAATTTTATTTTTTTATTACCAATTTTAATGAAATTTTGGATAGGTATTTAATATTTTTTACCACGGTCTGCATGAAGGCTGACATCTTTTGTGTTCAACAGGGCGGCAATCTTGTGAAAAACCGAAAAATATCAGGGAATTTATTTTGACAGGGAAATTTTTCCAGTCAGGAAATTATTACTCATTTAATATAGATAATATAATATATTTTTTGCCATAAGTTTATTTATGTACCTATGGCTATAACAACGCAAAATTTCCCGAATTATATCTAGGACCCATAACTAAATATGGATATTAAAAGTTAGATACGTAACAACCATCTTAAAAAAAAGCAATAATTAAGTATTAAAGTCATTTGTATAGTACAAATTGTACTCTGGCCAGGAAAAATTTAAAAACATTACTGAAAAGTCTGGGAAATGTACTTTAAGAACAAAGTGGCCACCCTGGATTAGCTTTTCATGCTTTCTAATGTCATCTTGACCTACTGGTAAAACAAAATTATTAATGATTTAAGTTATTTGCCTAACTAGTGCGGAAAGTGCTACTTTTCCGCACGTTACTGCCGTTGTACAATCGACGAGTAGCAGAGTTCGGTAATCAGAAAAGACTTTCCGCGTGTGTTAATAACAATATTTTTTTACAAGCAAGGGAATCTTGCAATGTTCTTTATAAGTTTCCATTTTTAAGTTTTAACATTTTTTATAAGCGTGTAGTGCACGCTGTATAAAAAAAAGTTGTGTATAAGAATAAATAATTGCCATTTTCAGGTTATAGTCTGGGATATAGAAAAAGGAGAGGCGTTAAACGTGATAGATTGCCATAGAGATGCTATACATTCCATGTCACTTAACCGCGATGGGAGTCTTATTGCCACCACCTGTAAAGATAAAAAACTTAGGGTTATTGAACCCAGGAGCGGTATTGTCAAATCTGTAAGTTTATCGACAACCTAGAGCAGGATGGGCCAAAAAATAATAATTATAATGAAAAAAATCTAAAACTTCAAAATTTCTCAAAAACCCGACCTGCTACAAACAAAATGTAAACGCAGTTTTTTTATGGTTTTTGGCCATCTTTCACCCCAAATATGAAATTTCTTAGGGCAAACGATTTTTTTGTTCCCCCAGTAGTTTGCGAGATAAGTACGCTGGTTTGGTGCAAGACTATCCTAAGTCCATTTTCAAAGAATTGAAGAAAAATACTATTAAAAATTTCTATGTATTGTAACTAAATTATTTTTTGCGTCATTTTTGTAAAACCTTACAATTTTTAAAAGAATGACGCAAAAAAACAATTTAGTTACAATAAATAGAAATGTTTAATAGTGTTTTTATCAAATTCTTTGAAAATGGACTTAGGATAGTCTTGCACCAAACCAGCGGGTATATATGTACTTATATATACTTATACACATACATCTGGCCCACTCTGTACTCTACATGAGTATACAAGTTTTAATAAACATTTACCTAACTGTTTAAAATATTTATAAAAAGGTTTTTAAAAAACTTTTGATAACTTTTCCAAAAAAAATTGCCCCCTCTATTCTTTCATTTTGCCTGGTTTTACCTTTACTATAAGTATTTTTGTTTAGGAGGGTGTCTGTCACTTTGGTTCTAAAGCCAGCAAAGTGGTGTTCCTTGGATCGACTGGTCGGCTCATCACCACCGGATTCTCTCGACATTCAGATCGACAGTACTCGGTATGGGATCAAAACGATCTTTCGCGCCCTCTAGTAACTGATACTATTGACAGCTCCTCTGGAATAGTGTTTCCGTTTTATGACCCCGACACAAATATCGTTTTCCTTGCCGGTAAAGGTGATGGAAACATCAGATATTATGAAATTACTGATGAAGCACCATACATACATTTTTTGAATCAATTTTTGTCAGGAAATCCGCAGGTAAGATATTTTTTATTATCTGTTATTTTATGTAGGTAATAGGGTATTAAAAAAAGTTCAAATAAAATTACACACAAACTGTATGATACAATTTAGAAAAAACTCGATTTGAAATAATTTCTATGTTAAAGAAGTCTTTTTGTGAAAAACTATAATTATTAAATATTAATTATCTCCATTTAGGGATTTTCGATAAAATGTCTTTAAAATGTAATATATGATTTTGTGAGGCATCAAATAATTTCAGTTTTTTTACAGCACAGAATCCAAGAAAATAATTTTTTAAGTTACATTTGTTTTCATACGCCATTTCCATAAAAAAATAAACTAAATAATCAATTTTGTTTCTCAAGTTTGAAAAAGAATTTTTAAAATAGTTCATGGGAAATCTGTCAAAAATAACACTTCTACACAAGTGTTATTTTCCATAGATTCTTTCAAAAACTCGTTTTTAAACTCCCATTGAAAGAGGATTGACTTGATGACTTAAACATTGATTATTACAGTTTATTTTTTATGTAAATTTAAAAAAACAGCTTTTTTAACACTTTAGAAATTGCCATTTTAAATTTTGTTCTGCCAAAAATATGAGAGTTTTAAACCTTTATTTTGCCATTATAACAACAAATTAACAATATGTATTGTTATTTATTTACTTTGTATATTGTTTTTAGATTTAATTTGTATTAAACTAATAATTTGTTAACTAAATTACGTTTTATTTTTACCACATTGACACCGCTGAATTTATCAAACTCTTCAAATGAAGATAGATATAACTTTAAAATTGGATTAAATTTAAAATATATGATTCTTAAACTGATAATTTTTATCTTAATTCAGCTCCCTATCAAAGCTCAAAGTTGAGAGTTCTAACTGAATACACTATTGGTTGGCAGGTTTCTTGCTTCCTCCTTTCACTTTAATTCGATTTTTCTCGATTTTCTAATTTCTGATTACTTAATCACTGTAATTTTAATAAAATTGAAAGAAAAGTCACGTTTATAAGAATTAAATTTCCTAAATGACTGGGCTGGCAAGAATCTTAAAATTATTAATCTTAAGACAATTATTTTATTCATAATGTTTATGAGAGACTCTTGTTTTAAGGGTAGATTCATATCTGTGATTACAATTAAATACTAGAAGTAGGTATTTTATAATTTTTCAGAGGGGTCTTGGATTTATGCCAAAACGAGGTCTGAAAACGCTACAATGTGAAATATTTCGCTTTTACAAGCTCCACGCCACCAAAGGCCTGTGCGAGCCAATTAGTATGATAGTGCCCAGAAAAAGTGACCAATTTCATGAAGATCTCTACCCTGATACTGCCGCCAATAAGCCAGCCTTATCTGCTCAAGAATGGATTAAAGGGGCCAACGCAACGCCGGTCCTGATTTCAATGAAAACTGGCGAAAGCAAAATCTCCATGCCGCTTATAAAGAAAAACAACAATTACAGAAAAGCTATTGAAGCACCAGTTGTTGACAATAACAGAAAAAAATTTGCTTTCCTTTCGACGGAAACCAATCCCGACTACAGACCAAAGGATTTAATTAACGAAAAAAGTCAAAAAACATCAACCAATCAGACCACAAGATTTCAGCAACTTCAGCAACGTTTTAGTCAGATTGAAGTCAATAATAAGGATTTACCGCTAAAAGGAGTAAATAACATCGGGGATAATGCGCTTAATGAAAACGATGTAAGTATTATATATTTTTTAATTAACATTTGTATATTTTAAGGCAATACTAAGAAAATCTTCAAAATTTATAGTGATAATTCCTTCCATTTTGGTATCTTTTAACCTAAAATCTTCAGTGAATCTTTGAATTTGAACGCACGTCACAATAAACTGATCGACAGTCATAATTTGCTTATGGTTAAGATCACATCTCTCTAATAAAAAATTTACAAATTCCTTAGAAAACTTGTATCCCATATATTGGAAAGCTTTATTAAGCTCAGGTTCTTCAATAGCACCTGATTTGTCTGCGTCGTACTTTTTAAAAGCATCCAACCATTCATTTATATAATTATACAAATAATGAAATTCTTGTACACCTATGAGACCAGTTTTTTGGGGGTCAAAAAGTTCGATCATCAATTTACAGGCAGCGTCGGAAAAATGTTCTTTTTGGCCATTAACTAAGGCAGCTTTCAGTTCTTCAAAACATATTTTGCCTGAATTGTCTGTATCAACTATGTCAAACAGTTTTTGAACGTCTGGACTTACTTTTTCTGGATATTGATTATAATTATACATACCTATTTTTTTAAATAATTTTGACAATAATGACATTGTTTTGTGAGGTTAAAGTAAAACACATGGCTTAATCAAGATTAACTAATCTCAATTAAATTATAACCGTGATTAAATTTACCTCAGTTTGCACCATCCAATTTATAGCTAATCCTCTTTTAAATTCGATGGTTATAATTATCATCAATTATTTTAACGTTAACGTTTTAAATAATTATCATCAAATATTATTTTAAACTGTTACAAATCAAGAAGCCTCAGGATAACAAAATGTTTATTAAAAATAAATAACTATTGTAACATTATGTCAATATTAGTCTTGTTATGTAAGTAAAAATGCCGTACTCAGACAAAGAAAGACACTACACTTCGAGTCAAAAATGTGTCACAATTTTAAATTTGATTTTCTCGCGAACCGTTTAACCGAATTTGGTTTTTTTTTTTAAATTGTAGGTTTATTCTTTGGTTATGACGCCTTTATTAAAATATTTTTTCAAATTTGCGTTTTGAGTATATACAGGGTGCAAGAGTAATAACAAGTATTTCCCTGTAAATTTGAAACGTCCTATGGGTTGAACTAGCTATAACAGCATACAATCAAACTATAGCCCCATCTTCTCTTAACATTTTGTTTTTTAATTCACCGCGTTATCTTTATTTTTAAAAGAAATATACAGTTAAATATTAAAGAACTCCAGTTTAATAAAAAATGTAAAAAGAACGATTGTAACAATAACAGTAAAAATATGAACAAAATCAATAAAACCAACATTAAAGAATATTAATATCGCGTATTTTCGCCTCTACTTCTAATTACGGCTTCACATCGACGTCTCATACTCGAAACCAGATGTCTAATCTCGCCTTGATCAATGACATTCCATATTTTTCGTAGCATATTTCAATGGAGGCAGGCAAGGTTCATAATGCCCGTTTGCACCAACGTGGGTTAGCATTTTAATCGTGATTAAATTGGCTAATCCAGCATTCACTTAACCGTGATTAAGGGGTTGGTTAAATAACCGGTGAATAGTCGGGCGGTTAGTATTTAAAGAAGAAGGGGCCATTGCTTGGCAAAACAGTAGTCTAACCCATAGATAACAAAGCCTAACAAAGTCTAACCTCATTTTGCCGTTTTAAAAGGTTGACTTCTCTTTTTATACCTTTATTAAAAAAATGAATAAGTTACAATTTCCTATTGTGGAAGACGACGACATGAAGTGGTCAATTTCATTGAAAACGGTTTCACGACAAATTTATGAAAGGCATTCGTACTTTGACACTTTGGACCCTTTTTGAAAACGGTTTCTGTGTGTGTCAGCTCCTTGTGAGGATCGAAGATCAATTGGAGTATCCTACAGATAGGTCAGTGTAAATAATTTAGTTTACAACTGCAATCATTCGTCATTTTAGAAATAATTGTGTTACGCCGATGAATCAATTATTAACATGTCTTTATCTCTATTTAACGGGGGGGTATTTGGATTCAATTGGGAATGCATTTGTCAACAGTTTGGCGCATTGTTGCTAAAGTATCTGAAGCTATCGCAAGATTATACAATGAATATGTGCGTTTCCAACTATTCCAGATGAATTGAGAATTAACCAACAGCGATTATTCAATGTGGCACATTTCCTCGAGTAGTTGGAACTATTTATTGCACCCATATACAATCTCCTGGGGGTGACGAATATTTTTCAATAATGAACGTGGTGGCAAGGTGGCCAGGCTCCGTGCATGATGCTACAATCTTCAATAATTGCAGAATACGGGGTTTGTTTGGCCGACGGTGGTCTAGTGGTCTAGTGCATGCTGACTACAAGCCGGAGGTCGTGGGTTCGAATCCCACCAGGGGTATGGCTGTTTATTTCTGTTTGTCCTATTGTGTATTAGTCCTTCGGAGGGGACTTTAAGCCCGCGGTCCGTTCCTACCCCTAACCCGCACAAGCCATTCAGTTGGCTTATGGGACTTCTTAAGAAGTAAGGGTGGAACTAAAAGAGCACTTTTGTATATAAAATTTTTTTTTTTGTATTTCCTAATTGCCTGTTGCGGCAGCCGTTCTCCATAACATTGCGCTGGATATGGAAGATTTTGAAAGCGGATGAATTAGATGCTAAATCGATTAATAGGACAAATTTCTAATATTTATGACGACCAAAATGATATCGCCGCCGGTACGCTGACCAGAAGACAATTTAAAACAAGTATTTTGCTAATTTGTAATATTAAGGTACCTACCGAATAATTAAATTATTGATTAATGAAATTTATTTATTCAACTTTTTTTTCGTTAATTTGCAATGTCCATTATTTTACAAACCGCTTTAGGCAAAACGATATACCCAAAGATAATATTATAGTATTATCTTTGGATATACCCTTTAAATAATTATTCTACAGATGACAAGTTTTAGACGTTTTTAACGTTTGAACGCTACAGTGGTACGAACCTATCAACAAAATATAGGGTTATAACCAACATACCAACACACATTTTCCGCGTTTTTCACCTAATCAAAGTTAAAAGAGGATTAGCTATAAATTGGATGGTGCAAACCGAGGTAAATTTAATCACGGTTATAATTTAATTGAGATTAGTTAATCTTGATTAAGCCATATGTTGGTCTACCCATATTATCCCAAAAATGCTCAATGGGGTTGAGATCCGGACTAATTGCAGGCCAGTCTAAAGTTTCAACACCCACCTCATGTAAGTACTCTTTCACTATATGGGCGGTGTGAGGTCTTGCGTTATCCTGCATCAGTAATAAATTATTACTGATGTACGGGGCGAAAGGGACGACATGCTCAGATAAAATGTCCTCGATATATGGTACACTATTCATGGTACCTCCACGAACAATGACGAGTTCTGTGCGAGCTGTCAAGAAAATTCCACCCCAAACCATTACAGAACCTCCAATAAATAGCGTGGTTTCACGAATGTTACAATGTGAAAATCTCTAATTTGGACGTCCGAGAACCCTTACTGAATAAACACCTGTAAATTTCTTGCTGTTACAAATCGTTTTCTCAAAGCATGCAAATAAAGGAAACGATCATGTACGGCTGTTGTCATTCGATGCCTTCCCTGCCCATCACGTCTGTTATGATCGTTGGTTTTTTCAAAACGTCGAATCACGGGATATTGAGGTATGATTAACTCCCAATCTTCGAGCACAGTAGCTTTATCCTTGCTAATTCTTACACATTCATCACGATTCAAATTCCTCACTTGGCGCTCCATTACAATAACTTTATGCAGACAACTTAAATGAAAATGACAGTTTCTGACCTACCATGACCTACCTGTGTAAATTTAAAAAAATATTTCAATAAACGTATTATTACCGAAGAATTAACCTACAATTTAATAAAAAAAATCACGAAATTCGGTTTGACGGTTCGCGAGAAAATCAACTTGAAATTGAGGAAAATTTTTAGTGGTGCGTTAAATTTGACGCGAAGTGTATTTTAACTTATTATCTTGAAAATAATTTAAATATTTCAGAAACGGTTCAATTTAGGTAGGTATATGGTATGTTATATGAATTATGCTTAGAATTTTACAAGGAATTAAAAATAATTTCACATTTAGGGTGATCCATTAAGATAAAATAAACTTTTTGTTTTTCCCTGTATACTGATCAATTCTTAATTTTTTTATACGTAGAAAAAACTATTTTTCAGTAAGCCTACATAACCTACATAACCTAACATACATAACCTACATAACCTAACATAACCTACATAACCACACTGTTAAATTTTTTGGGACAATTAAAATAAAAAAGTTAAAGGGGGAGACATTATAGGGGATCACCCTGTACAGAAACTAAACTAGTAACTTTTCTCGTATATCGAAACTAACCAGTGGCGGCTCGTCAGGGTAGGCCTCTGAGGCCGCGCCTCATTCTTAAAATGAAGGAACGAACGACTTTTTGTATTTAGCTTTTTGCCTAATACAAGTTTATTTTTACAACAGTTCTACCCAATAAAAAGTAAAAAACCAATCAATTACCTATACTAAGCTTAAATAAAAATCCAGGCGCAAAGCGCGTCTAGTTTACGCGGTCAGGAAAGAGGCGAATTATTCACAGCCTCGGAAGCTTCTATTTAAATTCGAAATATATCGCGGCGAACTGTTCGCGTTTTTCTATTGCTTTAAGGCAAAATAATATTAGCTTAGGTTGTTCTGATTGGTGACCGTAGATGATTCCGTGCCTTTCACACGGTGGGGATTTTGGTATGCTTCCCAGCGTGTATTGAGTAGGTATCCTTGTTTTAACCCCTTCAGACCTGGCGCACATTCAGATGTACATTAGCTTTTAAGTAATTTAATTACTATCAATAGGCATTAAATTTCATTTGGAACCTAGTGTTCACCCCCAAGTACATTTGTTTTGGTAAACTAAGGTACATGTTGCGAATTCTCTTACTTAAACTGCCCCTTTTGATTGAATATTCTCTCATATAATGGGGATGCGCATAATGACAACAACAACTTGTTGACGACAGTTTGTCTTAGCGGGTTTTTAGATGATTTACAAAGATATTTTTTAAGTATAAACTGGTGTAGTTTGTTCCTAAAGGTATGTACTAAGACATCTAAAAACTATTTTGGTATTATCCACACCTAAACCGTATATAACATTCGATGTACATGCATGTGAACATCCTGAAATTATCCTGCAATTTCACAATTAAGATTTTTTAGCATCAAATATGTGTTATTTAGGTCCTAATTCGATAGATTTAAGAGCCATTTATTTTTTTTATCGTCGTAAAATAATTCAGATTAAATTATTTAAAACTTTTGGCTGATCTTTTATAGTTTTCGTCTCAATTAGTGTAATTTCTTATTTTATTATTGTGGTGCTCTGGTGAATATACTATAGAGATAAGGTAGATTTGGCAGTTTTTATTACGCTACAAGTTGTATTGAATTTTAATTAAGGTTAGGCTTTTAAAATACCGGTTTTCTTTAGTTAAATATTTCTGTTTTTTAAATGACATTATTCTCTCAATAATGGAAACGCCTTTTTTGAGAAGAAACTAAACTGAAAAAAGACAGATATTGGGCAGTCGTCCAACGAAAAAAATGTTATCAATATTTAACGACAAGAGGCAGGGTAAGCAATATTCACGAACTTTTCAAATAATTTGGTACGAAACCTATAAGTGGCTATGTGGAAGTATTTATAAACAAAGCCTATTTGTTGGCATTGTATTTTATTGAGCCGCGTCAAAGATAATAATTATCAATTATTGGAGTTCAGGGGGTGGGTATCCGATTGCTCTGATATTTTATTTGTTTTATATGTATATATATTTTTATCCATCCATATAAATATATTTTTAAGTTCCAGATATATATTTTAAAGATATAAAAAACGAATTTATGTTTTTGAGTTTCGCAGTTTGGGTTAAGATTGCTTTGATATTTTTTCTTTGTTTTGTTTTTTTAGTATATATACTAAAAAAAAACAAAACAAAGAAAATATCAAAGCAATCTTAACCCAAACTGCGAAACTCAAAAACATAAATTCGTTTTTTCTCGTTTTTTTTATCTTTAAAATATATATCTGGAACTTAAAAATATATTTATATGGAAAAAATATATTTATATGGAAAAAAAATATATATTTTTTTATTTATAATGGTTTAGTAGGGCTATCGGCCATTTTAAAAAAGATCAACGCGCCGCAGAATAATACCTCTCTGGTGACGTGGAAATTTATTCGTATTTAGACAAAATTAACCTCATGCAGCCTCTTCCTCCTATACACCCATGAGCCGCCACTGAAACTAACCGCATAAAATAGAAAATAAAACTATTACCTAGTAACGTTTTCTGTTGATGAATAAATGAAGCAGCGTGTAAATATGTTATTACAAAGTGTTTACCTGCTTCTCAAAACATTATCCTCAAAAAGAAATGTATTAAATAAACAAAACCACTTTGTGAATTACTTGTTTTATTGCGTTTAATTACTGTTTAGCCATGTATTACTCATTTTTAGATAATGTTACTAAGATCGAATTTAAAAGATGTTTTTAATGTTAGGAAAGGATTATAATATTATATCCTCTTATTTCAAACGTCTAAATTGGTTAAATATAGAAAATGTCCAAAGACTTAATAATTATTATTCTTTTCTTGTGTTTGAAACGTTGAAAACCTTAATACCACAATATTTAAGTGAGAATTTAACACATCGAAGTAAAGCTCATGATTGTGACATACGTAACGGATCTTCTCTAACCACGCCCCTCCACACCACGGCTTTGTTACAGAAATCTTTCAGTTATGTGACTTATGTATATCCCAGTTAAGACTTAAAAACACAATTTATCTATTTGCTTCTTTCGTTTTGTTTTAAAAGCTGACTTTATCAAAAGGCAAAATGCATAATATATATATATATATATATATATTAGGGAGCTTGAAAAAAAAAATTTTTTCGCTCTTACCCTCTCAAATGTTTTTATTTAATATAAAAAAAATCCTCACCAAATATGGGCGTTCCAGCTCAACTCTAAGAGGTCGCTGTTTTTATTTTAGTTTCCCATTGAATTAACATGGGAAAAAATTAATTTATATTTGGAATTTTATACCTCTGTATCAAAGTACCTTATGGCAATGATCATTGCAGTTTCTTATATAAAATTTAACGCTCTACTAAAAAGATCTCCTATTATTTTTCGATAAATTGATTTCTTCTAGAGTTATTCGAGGTCAAAGTTTTCCCCCTTTCACCTTCCGTCTGCTAATGGTACCAGAAAATTTGATGTTAATCAAACTTTGACCTCGACTAACCCTAGAAGAAATCAATTTATCGAAAAATAATAAGAGAGCTTTTTTGTAGAGCGTTAAATTTTATATAAGAAACTGCAATGATCATTGCCATAAGTTACTTTGATACAGAGGTATTAAATTCCAAACATAAATTAATTTTTTCCCATGTTAATTCAATGGGAAACTAAAATAAAAACAGCGACCTCTTAGAGTTGAGCTGGAACGCCCATATTTGGTGAGGATTTTTTTTATATTAAATAAAAACATTTGAGAGGGTAAGAGCGAAAAAAATTTTTTTTTGAAGCACCCTAATATACAGTCGTATGAAAATAAAAAGAGTACAGCCTTGAAATAAGAGCTACTGCACTTGTCAAATATGGCGAGTTAGGTTATAAAAAATACAGTGCCGTAGATGTAAACCAGCCAAACCCAATTTGCCATATTTGACTAGTGCAGTACCTCTCATTCTAAGGCTGTACGCTTTTTTTGCATACGACTGTACATACAGTGTGAACCATTTGTTTGCGACTCACCCCTATAAAATCTTTATTTATTGTGCGATTTTAACCGGATATGTTTTAAAGTGTAGATCTTGATAAATGGTATTTTTGAAGCAAAAAACGCCATATTTTTACAAAATACAAGGCCAACTATGTGAGTTTTTAAGAGTAAATTTTTAAGAATTCATATTAGCGATTTTTTTAAACAAAATCTAAGCACGTCACTGGATTCACCACCCCTCAAAACGAGCCTATACTAAATTTTATTGAAAAATTTTAAGTAGAAAAATGCACAATAATAACTACAAACATTTATTTTGTCATGTTACCCATGAAAACTTTAAAATAAAATTAAACTAATAGTAACATGGTACTATTACTATAAGTTAAATTTTATTTCAATGTTTTTTTTCATAGATAACTTGACAGAATAAATTATTGTACTTATTATTTTGCATTTTTCTACTTAAAATTTTTTAATAAAATTTAGTAAAGGGTAGTTTTAAGGGTTGGTGAATCCAGTGCCGTGCTTGGATTTTGTTAAAAAAAATCGCTAATATGAATTCTTAAAAATTTACTCTTAAAAACTGACATAGTAGGCCTTGTATTTTGTACTAATATGGCGTCTTTTCCTCCAAAAATACAGTTTATCAAGATCTATAAAAAACAAATAAATAAAGATTTTACATTGGTGAGTCACAAACAAATGGGTCACACTGTATATAGTACATATTTTTTGATTTTTTATTTGTTTTTGTTAATTGGATATTTTTCACTATGATTTGTTCTTTATTTTATTTATAATTTCAAATTTTATTTTTGTATTACCTAATATCTTTATTATAAGTTACCAATGTTCTTATATACAAAATATTATGTATAGCAGGGTAAAGTGGAAGATTGGTCCTTGATCAAACTTCGCCGTTTTGATGTAATGTCAAATAAGTACTTTTATTATTATTATTATTATTATTATTTATTTCAGTTAAGGATTGCTTATGAGCTTCAGTCAGATGAAGTTAGAAAATTGAAGAAGCAACTGGCCAACAGCGAGAAACGCGTAAAAGAATTAGAGGACCAAGTGCGCAAACTCAGCTTAAAATTAAACAAGTAAATTAGGCAAGCTTAAAATTAGTGCTATTTGATGCTTCAAATATGAATTTCAATGAACCTTAGTATCAAATTGTCAGGTACCTTTTTATATTTATTTACTTATTTTTTAAGTATAAATTGTCACAATTAATTTTTAAGATTTTTACTGTACCTATGTTATTTTTTTATATGCGTGTTAGGTAAATGTTACCTTAACACATTAATATATTTAATTTTATTTCATGTGATATAATGTTTAAATTTTTAGTGGTTAGTTAATTTTTGTTATGTTGTGTTTGTTAAGTGTAATTTTTGATAGATTTCATATCAACTTAATATAATAGTGATACATAAAGGTTTTTCTACCTAAAGTGCAAGCAGATTTAGTATTTTTGGAAATTAGTATTTAGCTTTTACGTAAAACAAATTGGTACATTTAGATGTAAGATTTTAACTTTATATACAATTAAATTTATCTTTATGCAATGTGCACATACATTTTAAACTTGGTACAAAAACTTTGCTCATTATTTTTGCAATAAATGTTTATTATTATAATTAATTATGTAAGCATTTACGGTTTAAAATGTTAATTAATTTAATTGTACACATACAACTTTATGTTTAAATTTATTAATGATTTTATATTTTATATAATCATATCAAATTATACCATAGAAACTTCTAAAGTTTAAGCGCAGTATAAGTCTTTCATGTATGAGTTTATGTTTGTACTATTGTAATATTGTTTTTATGCTTTTGTAACTTGCTTTTAATGTTCAATTTTGAACAATAAATTTATTAAATATAATTATAAGGTTATTTTTTAAAACTTTTAAGGTAAGTAACACAAACATGCAATTGAAGTATTTATTAATTGTTAATTACAGATCTACTGTTGTTGATTATAAAAATTATATTATGGTAAACTTAATCTAATTTTTACACAAAAATATTTTTATAAATTCAAAAATAAACAATTTATTTTGATTAATTTTAAAGGTTGGCCAAAAAAAAATTAGCAAAAAGGATAAGTAAAGTTTAAATCAAATTTTATCAATAAATTTTACACGCTACTTTTTGATGCTTTTTTTAAATATGTTATTTAACCTTTAACGCTTTGATGCTTTTTAACGCTTTTGTAAAAAGTACAACATTCAATGATTTTCGTTAATTGCCAACCAGCACATATGGCTTTGGGTAATAAAAAGTAAAAAACCAATCAATTATATTAAGCGTATATAAAATTCCAGGCGGCTATTTTAAAAAAGGTCAACGCGTCTCAGAATAATATCTCCCGGGTGACGTGGAAATTTATTCGTATTCAGACACACCCTTCTATACACCCACGAGCCGCCACTGAGGTATTCAATGTCATTCAATGTTCAATGTCATAAGATTTCGAGTATTTTGGAAAAATAGTCGGACGCGCCCACTCTAGTTATTTTAAGTAAAAAGCAAAGTAACAGTAAACTGTTTGGGCAAAATATATATATATGGGGCGATCCACGCCAAATCGGCCAAGATTCACACTTCATGTTTCCGATTTACTTTAAATTTTCAGGGCCGACAGAGGAACATAAATAAAGGAGAAATCCAAAATTTTAATTTTTTTTATGCATTTTTGTGGATTTTATATAATAAATAAAAAAAAATGTCACGTTTCTTATTTTTCGAATATTAAAAAACTGAAACGACTGAAAATTTCGAGATAAATTTAGATGTACATATTTTTGGGCGCTCTTTAAGAAAAAAAAATTTTCAAAAATTTTAACCTAAAAATTCATTAAAAAAATCATTTTTTTTTAAACAAATTCAATTATCCAAAAAATGCCATCTCAAAAATTTTTCAAAAAATTTATGGTGATAGCCCTGAATCTTGCGCAAATTTTGACTAGTTACTTTTTGGGGGGACTCAAAAATTGTAGAAGTTATGAATTTTTTTGTGATGCGATGCGTGAAATCGTTACTCCCGCGATCAATGGCTCCGAGCGACTTCGCTTCGCCAAACGGAGAAAGAGATTGTTTCATTGAGTTAAATGTAGTATTTATTTTAATTATATTTTATTAAAAGACTAAATTCATTGCATTACATTTATTTTATTATTAAAAAAATACAAAATATTTTACAAGCGATAAGCCAAGCAGTGCACTGTAAGATAAATAATATTTGTTAATATCAGTCCAGATTTGTGAAAATTTTAACAAGAAAAACATTTTACCGAATATGTAATGTATGTAATTATTTTATTTTCTACTTATCTATTATTGATCCATAACACCTTGCAAATCAAATAAGTAAACGTATCTATAACAACCACAGGGCGTTATAGCCGGGCGTTATCATAATGCCCGCAAATTTAAATCTACAAAACATCATACAATATGCAGCCAAAGCTGCAGAAAATTTGTTGTTTTCAATCACTGACTATAATAAATAATAACTTTTGTGTAGCCTTGGCTGCATTTTGTAAAATATTTTGCGGAATTTCTTAAATAAAATTTTGATTAATTTTTGTTTGACATAAGTCAACATTTGGTACAGTGACAGTAGGAAATTTGACAAGTTTATTTATTATTTAAATTTTTGATAAAAACATAAATCTTTAAGTAGAAAATAAAGCATTGTATGCCCATCACGCGAAATCCTATCCCTCGGGCCAAAGGCCCTCGGGCTAGTTTCGCCTTTGGGCATTAAAGCCTACGTAATGCCCTTGATACATAAATAGCTAATAAACTACTTATTTACACAGTAAAAATATTTGTTAATTTTAACCAATTAATAACATATTTTTTTATTAATCTAGGTCCAAATAACTTTTGGAGTGATGTTACATTTACCAAGAATTATGTTACGTTTACAAAGAATTATGTTAAACTTTTTACAATATAAAATTAAAAAACTAAAAACTGATATCAATAAATATGACTTTTAAAACTGTGTACTTAGTTAACAGATTATAGTTTGTTGTAAACGTAACAAAAGTTATGTAGATCTAGATTAACAAAAAATCTTATTAATATTTGGTTAAAATTAGCAAATATTTTTTTACTCTGTGTAAACAATATCAGAAGTTAAACTTTCCGAAAACAATTTAATTTTAAGGGTGTTCTTATTAATTGGCGATGCAAAGTGAATGGACTGAGTTCCTTTGATCGTCTTGCACTTTTTATGCCTTAACGTGAGAAACTCAGCTGCAAGTTCATAATCGGCCGTTGAATAAAAAAAAAACGTTTATATTTTTAAAATTTTCTTTTGCCCATTCATAAAGTTTTTGCGCGGTCAAAATTTCATTTCTGGTTCCACTTTGTAAACAGTATCTTCGAGCTATTCGTTTTAATGTGCCTCCAACGCCATCGCAGGCTCCTTTTCCATGAGCTGTTGCGAAAAAATTCCATTCAGCTTCAACTCCAAAATCTGTCAAGTGATGGGTTAAATTAACAAAATTCTTTTTATTTTTATATTGTTGAGGTGCTCCATCCGAAAAATATATAATTCTGTTGACGATTAAAAAATTTCTTTTCAGAAAATCGATTAATTTTTTCTGAGACGTATATACCGCAATAGTGTCGTGGTTAAGGCAATCCGATATGCCAACATAAGAAACATGTTCAATTTCATTTGTTTCACGATTTTTGTAATATATGACAATCGGATGAACCGTTGCCTGATTGTTGTTCCAGTGAAATCCTTGGACTGCTTCCTGAACAACAAATGCAAAATTTTCTGAAAAATCGAGAGTTACCACGAAATCGCCAACTTCTAAATTCTTCTTTACATTTTTAAAATGCAGAGACTGTTTAGTGGCGATAAAATCGTGAAAAAGTAGTTTGGTCAATTTTTCTATTAAAGATGGAACAAATTCATCAATAGTTTCGTTCAAAGTTTTCAGAGAGCACCTAATTCAAAAACAGTAATAAATCAAAACCAACATAAATTTACACTATAACTTAATATTTACCTATCTGTTGATATCCATTGTTTGTAATTCACTTCCTCGACTAAGTCATTATTAAATGCGTCGATTAGTTTTTCTTTTAGAATATCATTGCTGGGACATAAAGCACACTGACCTTCGTAACATTTGATAATCGGATTTAGACATAGCAGATATTTAAAGAGCTCCTTGTACGAACTTTTTCCTTTTATTGGAATTTCCCAAGTTTTGGTTAAATTTTGTAAATCCGAGCCTATAAACAGATAATTGATTATAATTATTATTAATAATTATATTTATTTTATTAATTCTAATTAATATAATAATAATAATAATATATTATTATTATAATAATTAGAAATATTAGAATAATTATAATTATTACGATAATTTTTATTCTTAAGAAGTGTAAATCAAACTAATTAAGGTTTCTGAAATCAAATTCTATTTTCTGACCTTCGATCATAAGTTTAACATTTTGATGAAAGATACACACACAAACTGTATGTGTTCCGCTAGCTCCTGCCAGAACACATTCGTTGGGACGAAGTTCGGCAAATTTAGAGAAACCTACTTGGCAATTCGGGAATTCTAATTTAAAAGATTGGTAAAGTTCTTTTAAATTACAATAAACAAGTCTCTTTTGAACTTTCTCTTTCGCTCCATCATCTTTTTTGATAGTCACGTAATCCTTCATCCCAGGCAATTGCCTTGAATTTTCGTCGTTTCGGTAATATTGGGTTATTAAATCTATGTTATCACTCGAAAGATTTCGTCCGTTTTTGACGCCGGGTACTGATAGAATGCCTTTTTCTTTTTGCAATTTTTTGGCAACATTTACCATATGCTTAGAGCAATTGAATGTTCGTGTTATATTGCATGTGCTTAAAGTTGATGGTAGTGAAGTTAAAATACGATATTTATTATCTCTGAAATAAAAATTAATTATAAATATTGATAATAACAATGCGATTTTAAATTGAACTTAAATTTTTCTTTGTAATAATTTTTAATTAAATTGATTGAGAAAATAATATTTAACCTCGATGTGTCTTCAGCATTGAATTTCTCCATAAACATAGACATAATGTTATTATGAGCCACAGTTTTAGCATCATCTGAAGTAACAATATTTAAACATGTTATTTCTTCAAATTTTTTTTTAATACTTTCTTGTGCTGCTTCAACTTTACCAACAATATAATTTTTATATCTAAGTCTGTAAAACATTCAGTTATGATAATGAAAAATATAATTTT